TTGGGGTCTCGGGCCATCTTCTGGGTCCAGGCAAAGCGTCTTGAGGCTTGTGCGCACCTAGTAGGAACCACCTTCCACCTACGTCGAAGAACTGCGTGAGGGAGGCTCTGAGGATGGCTGCCGCTCCAATCCGTAGCCTTGCCCCTCTCCAAAGCTCTGAGGTACTTAGCTACGATGGTGTCCATCTGGTTGGTCATTTTTTCAAAGAAAACGCAGGCCTCGTTCGCCGATAAACCAGCTTCAATAACGTGTCCCTGGAACGCCAGAAGCTTCAGTTTGCTCGATATACGGCTGCCCCACAGACTTCCCATTTTTGCCCAACCCACTCTCATAGCTGAACACCTAAACTGCAGCACCTCCATCGTCGCTGGGTTCCAGGCATATCTACCTCCAAGATACCGTGCCCGAGGTAAAACCTCCCCCTCCTGAGTGAGCTCCTTAAACCTCTTAGTCTCCTGGGACCGATGAAAGCTGGGAACAATGTCGCGTTTCCCCTTATTCTGGAGAAGGCCTACCTGATGCAACTCCTCGTCCAAGGTCGCATCACTCTGCTGCGTGAGAAGATGGACCTCGCCAGCCTCGCCACTGCGTACAATAATCTCATCAAAGATATCATCAGCAAAGACACTCGTGCCGCCGTCGATCTGGCGGTGAAAGATACCGCACTGCAATGTAATGGCCAGCTCCGCTGGTTGTGTCGAGCGCCAGGCGTGAAAAAGGTCGTTGCGTAATCTTGGCAAATATAACGGGCTCTTCGCTAGATCCCATCAACCCTCCACATCTGCGTCGAATGACTAGATTCCGCGCATCCCTCCATGGCTCGCCCCCCCCGTCGACAAACCCCAAGAAGATAGCAGCATGCTCCGCTCGGTGTTCAAACAGCGCTTGATCTCGGGGAAGGACGAGATCGCGAATCGCTCGACGACGAGCTTCGGGCGCGGTGGAAGCGAAAGCGTTTGACATATCGTGAGGATTATTAAGATGAGCTTGCTTTCGCTTCCGTAGCCGATGTCCCCCACAGAGCTGAACTGCAAGGGCGCCCCCACGACGCCGCGCAGGCAGAAAACCATGGAAATTAGCCGGCCAATCCTGAGTTTGTGGAAGCATACCTCGACGTATAGCAGCTCCACAGAAGCCCTTCCAGTAGGGGCGAAATACGTGTATGAAGCGTTCCCCCCCAGGACCGTGCTTCCCGTTCGGCTTCAAGACCGGACATCCCCCTCTAGAGAGGTGGGCCAGCTTCGGTACTCGCTTCAAAACTCGAACCCACCAGTGTAGGTGCTCCAAGTGGGTGCACGCCTGAGAGGGGGGTAACTCGCCTACTCGCTCAGCTCCCAGTCCTAGTCGGGGCTCATCCGCACGTGAAACGTAGGTAGACTCAGCAGCCATCAAGAAAACTTCGGTCGGAACACTCCAAGCTGAGGCAGCTCGTCTTTTAGGGCGCTTTTTGAGGAACCTGAGGGTAGCTCGAAGATCTCTCTCGGCCCAAAACCGATGCTCCTCATAAGTTTCGAAAGACATCTCGGTCGTGTCGAAAAACTCCGGCCTAGTCTCGAGCTCGTTCGCGCAATCGATCTCCTGGGCGCGCATGCCTCCCTCGTACGGCGACCCCGCAAGATATCTCCTCCACTCCTCCTTCGACGACTGGGGTGTGGGGACACGGTGCTTCCTCTTGCGGGCCCCCCCTCAACGAGCTGCCAGCAGGAACAAAAAAAAACAGACGATGCACCTCCGCAAAACGCCGAAGGCGGTGGGCCTCATGAATGTCATGTTCGAGTCGTCGCCGTCGCTCAGCAAGTTCACGTCGTCGCAATTGACGAAGGGTGGTGCGAATGTCCTGCACCTCCTGGTACTCTGGGAAGAGAATAGGCTGGTGCTTCAGAACGCCTGCGTACCCCTCGCCCTGATCCCCCAGCCGCTCCCGAGCCTCAGCGCGCAGCCGTGCCAGCTCGCGACGTCGCTCACGAAGACGAACGGCCTCAGGGTGTTCGGTGCGACGAGCTTGGCCGAAGAATCGTTGCGCGCACGTCCTCGCTAAGGTGACCCAGGTCTGCCAGTATTTATCGATGTCCCCGAAGTCGCCGTACTGTGTCAGCTCCGTGCACTGGGTGAACGCGGTCTCCAAGGCCTCCTGGAACTCCAGACGGTCGGTACCTTCCTGCAGAGCCGCCGCCAACTTATCACGATCCCAGCGAAAGAGGTCGGGAGCCTGGCAACGATGCTGATAGGCCGTGAACTCAACGATGATGGGTACGTGGTCCCTCGGCATTGCGCTCGGGATCAACTGCAAGCGCCGAGCCGAACTCCATGGGATAAAACTGCGTCTAATCTGATCATGAATCGTTAGTGGCATAAGAATGTGGTCCACTGTGCTCGTCGACCCATCCAAGTGATAATATGTTGGCCCAGCTGTATCATAGAAACTGCCAACATTCATCATGCCATGGGGTAGAATGAGATCTTCCCAGATCTGATCGCCAATGACGGTGTGGTTGCCCAAGTTCTAGCCGCCGATGTTGTCCAGGGAGCCCCTCGCCTCAATCTCGAACTGCGGGGGGGACAGCAGCGAGCCACTCCGCAAGCCCAAGCCCGTGTTCAGGTCGCCCATCACAATCGGAGTCGATCGAGTTGGCGCAGCCTTGATCTCTTGTATCGCCCAGTGGACCAGTTCTCGTGACCCTTTTTCCAGCGCCCGTCTCTTGCGAGCACTGTCGTCCTTCAGCGGGGGCAGGTACAGCAGCACTATGGTCAGGTCGAGGGAGCCGCGAACGATCCGCACGGCGAGGCCACGGCCCTGCGCCGACGGTGGGGGGGGTCGCAATCGTCCGAATCCCCCTGCGCATCCTCTGCGTCATCATCAACATACAGCCAGCCGATCGATTCGAAAATGGGACCGCTGCCCAGCCTGCGGAGAGTCCGAAACCTCCGCGTTCGAGCTGCCACTCTTGAGCGGGATAACCTGGGGGTGCTCGGAGCCGAGTGCCTGCCAAGCCGATTATATATGCATGTATTTCTCTCCATATCTGAGAAGGTCGATCCACTTCCACCAGAGAGAGAAGATTGTAAAGTGCCAGTCTGAGAAAAGAACCCATGGGCCCACAAGGGCGAGTGCGTCCCGCGACGTTCCCGCCCCGAGATCGTATGCGGCGAGGCCACAGAGAATGTGTAATGGAAGGGTGTGCGGTATACTCATGGATGCTGCATGATGGAAGGGTTTGTGCCAGGAGCAGCTGAGGAGGAGGAGGAGGAGGGAGGAGGAAGAGGAGGAGGAGGAGGAGGAGGGACGGGGAGGGAGGATGAGGAGAGGAGGAGGAGGAAGAGGAGGAGGGGGAGGAGGAGGACGGGTCGCCAACGCCTCTTAGGAGAAACCCTCCAGCTCACGATCGGCGGACCATGCCATACCACGCCCTCGCGGCTGAATTCAGGGATCGATCCCGGAGGAGGAGGAGCGAGGAGGAGGACGGAGGACGTGTCGCCTAAGTCCTTCGGTGGAGGAGGTGGAGGTGGGGGAGGAGGGGGAGGAGGTGGGAGGAGGAGGAGGGGAGGAGGAGGCGGAGGAGGGAGGAGGAGGGAGGAGGAGCAGGAGGAGGAGGAGGAGGGGGGGGGGGAGAGGGGGAGGGGGAGGGGGAGGGGAGGAGGAGGAGGAGGAGGAGATGGAGGAGGAGGAGGAGGAGGAGGAGGAGGAGGAGAGGGAGGAGGAAGAGGAGGGGGAGGAGGAGGAGGAGGAGGAGGAGGAGGAGGACGAGGACGAGGACGGGTCGCGGAAGCCCTTCGGAGAAACCCTCCGAGAGGCGGGGACGTTTCTGTGGCTCGAGGCTCGAGGCTTGAGGTTTTCGGGCGTGCTGTCAGACGAAGCTAGGACGAGGACATAATCGGGCGGGGATAGGTCGAGAATCTCTGAAACCCGGTGGCTCTGGAGGATGTCTCGGGCGCCGCGGCTTTCTCAGAGCGTTCCAGAACGCTCTGGAAAGGCTTTCTCCTCGTCCCCAGACTTCAGACGTAGTGTTTTTTTCGCAACGTCGACCCCCAGAGGTCTGGACCCGTTCCCTGGGACCGGTTTTTCGTCCCGGGTCGTCTTTTGACAGCCCCGATGCCCGGGAAGCGCCGCCAGGAGCCCAAAACAGCCAGAAACCTCCCGTCGTGATTTTTGTCACCGCGCGAGGGGGTCTGGGTCCCAGCCCCGTCCGCTCCTGGTCGGTGCTCGGCGGCTGTCCGGCCTCGGGACGCCCTCCTCCAGTGGCCGCGCCTCGCCGGAGGGGCGTCCGGAGGTGCCCGAAGATCCTCCCGAGCGGCCGCCGGAGGCCCCAGTTATGGCCTCGGGAGCCACCGGGGGGCCCAGCTCAGGGGGGAAGCCTCAACATTAGAAGGGACCCGCGGACACACACGCACAGAAATAGACACAGATCCCAGGCTTCCCCCTATTTTTCCATATTTTTTGGAGGCTCGTCTTCCCCCCCCCACTTCCTGTATGTTCGTGTATCTTCCTGGGAATCGACGATTGATGGTGCCTGTGTGTTTTTCCCCTCCTGAGATATGGAATCGGCGATGCATCGCCGGTAGATCGGCGACAGGTCCTCGACAGGGAAGCCACACGCTCCTGGGCGGGGTGGGGCTGTTGGGCCCCTATCGGCGATCCAGGGGCGGTTGGGGGTCGGTGCGTGCCCCCGCTGCGCCTGTCCCCCGCCGACGATGCCCCCGAATCTCTCGCCCTCCTCACAGTCGCCCTTCTTCCAAGTTCTTTTTGCGCACGGAATCAAAAGGTGCTTATACCTGTAGTTTGGGGCTTACTGAGACGAGAGCAATCGACATGGCATTTATGAAGAAGGTACTTGGGACGGGAGGGTTGCAGCATCCTTGATGCATTATGCGTTCGTTCTGGTCATCTTCCTCCTCCTCTTCCTCTCCCCTCCATCCACTCCTTCCCCATTAATTTATATCTCTCTCTCTCTCTCTCTCCTCTTCCGCCTCTCCTCCACCTCGCCCTCCTTCCCCCCTCCAACTGGCCTACCTTTCCCGACTTCGAATCGCTCCCGCGGCGCCTCACTTCTTGATGACCGTGCAAAAGGTCTTGTGTGCCTTCTTCCAGTCCTTCAGGGGCTACCGCAGCGCAAGCTGGTGCAAATCTCCGCCTACCTCCTCCGCCTCCTGGACACCCTCCACCCCATCCGTCTCCTAGACGCTGGCCGCCATTTACGAGTGCACCTCGCGGACTCTTGCCTATGCAGTGGCTACCAAATTGCCGAGGACATAATGAGATGTGATCCAGATTATCGCTGGTGCTACGAGAAGGCGCGCTTGAGGAAACCATGACGACGACCACGAAAACCTCTAAGTCCACAGCCTCCGATAATTGAAAAAGACGACGCAGGAAACGCGACGCCCGACGACAGCTCAAACGACTGCAGTTACAGCAACGACGAAACCAACAGCGATTCCTACGCTTCTGACTTGCAGACGCGGGTCGGCGTCATCCAAAAAACGACACACACAAATAGACAATCCCCAGACCAAACGCACCTAGATGAATGACTCGGCATCAGGGAGGTTGGCAAGCCGAATACCAAACCAATCGATCGAACGACAAGAACGATGCGGCGCCACATGATAAGCCTCATCGCAAGACAGACGACAAACTTCACGAAAACAAGGAAGAGAGCTGACACGATGGGACCACGTCTTTCTCAATGTTCTGTAACCGCTGTAATTGGTAGCTGGCGCTTGCTGCTTGCTACGGAACGGGCGTGGGATCCGTGGAGGAAACGGAGCACGACGACCACACAACGCTGACGCGGAATGTCAATCCCATCCCTCCCTCACTTGAGTATGGTTTAACCGATCCCCATCCCCAGCGGCGTGGCCTGGGCCCCACTGGCCGATTTACCCCCCTAGATTGGGATGTAGGCCGTTCCCTTCGGGTTTCGAGGGGTGTATCCCCAACTGGGGAGGTACTTTGATGGGGGTCTCGAACAGGATGGGAATGGGGATGGGGATTGGTCAAACGATACTGATCACTCCCTGCCTCCTCCATCCTTTCCTCTTCCTTTATCCTCCTCTTCCTCCCACTTCCTCTCTCTGCCCCCCCTCTCCTCCTGGCCCTCCCCCACCCGCGGTTCCTTCTTCTGGCACTGCCTGCTGCAGTAGATCGCCTGACGGCGTGCGGGGCGGCCCCAGGGGTGCAGCCCACGCCCCGACCGGGGAAGGACGTATCCGTACCTGGTCGAACTCGAATTCAAAATCACCCCCGGGACCTTGCCCTGGGCTTCCCTCCCGAATTGTCCCAGGGCCACACCGGCAGGGGCCCTCCTGGGAGAAAAAGCCTCTGAACGTTTGCGGGGGAACCCCGAGAAGACACCAGGTCCCTTCCGAGAGCAAGCCGCGCACCAAGCAGGAAGACGGCAGGAGACGAGACGGGGAAGACGCACGGGCACCCCTGATTCTGCAGGCCCGACCTGCTCATGAGACCCGCGTGCAGGAGGACAAGTGGTGGACATGTCACAGAGGTGTGAGGAGGAGAGGAGGAGGAGGAGGTGGAGGAGGAGGGGTAGGAGTAGGTGGAGGAGGAGGAGGAGCGAGGTGGGAGGATGAGAAGGAGGAAGAGGAGGAGGAGGAGGAGAAGAGGAGGAGGATGAGGAGGAGGAGGAGGAGGAGGAGGAGGAGGAGGGGGAGGGGGAGGGGGAGGGAGGGGAGGAGGAAGGAGGAGGAGGGAAACAGGAAGGCGATCTCGGCGCTCGCTCCGATCATCGGCGCTCGCTCTGAGCCTGCTTGCAGGGGCACTGGCTCATGCCGGTCGTCCACTTCCTGAGAAGGAACACGCGGCGGACGGTAAACAGCAGATTGCGGAAGCCCCAGGGCGAATGATGCAGTAGACACAAAACGAGGATGGTGAGGAGGGAGTGGAGGAGGTCGAAGAAAGAGCGAAGATGGATGGGAATTGGAGAACGGTAGCATGAGGAGGAGGAGGAGGAAGGCGCGAATGAAGATTAATACGTATTGGGACAAAAACGGATTGCGGGCGAGGATGAAACTGGGGAACACATGGATCGATGCGGATATGAGGATGAGGCCAGATAGGAGGAGGCCGAAGATGATTGAAGAAAAACAGATGGTGATCATGGTGATGGGGCATGGGAGGGTGAGCAAGGAAAAAAGGGGATGACGAGTGGCAGGGAGACAACACCGGATGGGAACTGCATCATCAAAACCACGCACTGGTGCAGCCAGAAGCAAGTATCGAAGATAGTGCTACAACATTGCATCATGATGTTCGGGGGAAAACAAACCTACCTCGCTTTTGACTACCCTCGCTGTTCCAATAAATACCCAACAATGCCAAATTGCGGCCTTGTACTGGTCAGGACGCTTGACGAGGAGGCGCGTGGTATGGCTTGGTTTTGCCTGGAAGCGAAAGCGGGGGAGGTAATTCACGCTCTGAGATGTTGAAGATGCACTGCCACGGTAACGCACCATGGCAGGAGCATTCCGGCGTGCCCTGCCCAATAAATTTCATCGTTCCTTTTGCTGCCGGGGGTCTCCTCCTCCTCCTTCCTCTGCTCCTCATGCATCCTTCCTGTCTCCTATCTGACTCTCCAACTGCTCCTCATCCCTCCTCTCTCCTCCTCGCTCCTCCTCCTTCCCACCGCATCCTCACTTCCTTCCCTCTCTCCCTCTCCTCCTCCCACCTCATCTCCTCCTGCCCCCAACCTCACTCCTCCTCCCTCCTCACTCCTCCTCCCCTCCTCACTCCTCTCCTCAACTCAATCCTCCTCCAACTCACTCCTCTCCCACTCACTCTCCTCGCGACCTCACTCCTCTCCTCCTTCCTCCTACCTCTCACTCCTCCTCATCCTCATCCTCTCCTCCTTCCTCCTCTTCCTCTTTTCTCCCCACCTCACTCCTCCTCCTCCTCCTCCTCCTCCTCCTCCTCCTCCTCCTCCTCCTCCTCCTCCTCCTCCTCGCATCGCTCGCGCTGTACCCGGCGGGCGGGGACGTCCCCGCGGCTGCCGGGTGCCCCCCCGGGGGCCCGACGCGGCAGCGGGGGCCCCCTCGCCGGGCACCTGCGGGGCCGTCTGCGTCCGATGCCCGCGCTGGCAGCGCAGGGCGCTCACACGCAGGGCCGATTGGCTCTCGCGCATGGTGCCCAAATTACTCCAGATTTCGTAATACAGGGGAGGGGGTCTCATTTCGGGGGGGGGTCTCGTCCAGGCTACCTTGGAAGGTCTCATTTCGGGGGGGGTCTCATTTCGGGGGGTGTCTCATTTCGGAGGGGGTTTCCCGTCCAGTCAGAGCAACCAACAAAACACAGAAAAACTCAAAACTTCGGGGTGCCGCGCGGATTTCTCTGGATCCGGCCGGACCCACCTCCCGGCGCGCGGAGCGGCGCCATGGGCGGCGCCGGAGGCGCCGCCGGGGGGACCCCGCGCGGATCCAAGAAATCCGCGCGGAGCGCCAAAAAGTTTATGTCTGTACTCCAGATTTCGTAATAAAGGGGAGGGGGTCTCATTTCGGGGGGGGGGTCTCGTCCAGGCTACCTCGGAAGGCCTGGGGGGGTCTGGGGACGATGTTTTGGAGGGTTCTCCCACGGGGGGGGGGGTCTAAAACTTCTCGTCTGGGTGGGTTGAGACCCCCTCCCTTTTATTACGAAATCTGGAGCACCTGGTGGCAAGCACTTGTGCTGCGATGCGTTCGTACATCGCCGGCAAGGTCTGCATCAGAATACTGCCGTATAGTGACATCCTCCATTTTGTCGCCTACCCAAGACGTCATTTTGTCTTGGATTGTGAACTTTATGTAACCAATTGGACCCAAACGCTGGTTTTCGTTATGCTTTCGTTTTGCTCTGCCGGTTTTCCTGTACCTCCCTGCCAGAATAGGGGAAAATAAAACCATGCACCCGCACCGATTCTGGCCAGGCCCATCCTGAGCCCAGGATCGGTGCATACGCCCTCCTACCGTGGCGAGGAAGGCATATGCACCGATCCTGGGTCAAGGATGGGCCTTGCCAGGATCGGTGCATGTGCATAGTTCTCTTCGCCCGACAAAACGAAACACAAAACACTGCCGAAGTCCACCAAAACAGCGTTTGAGGTCCAGCCCTGATTCACACCGAGTTCGCCGCCGCAGCTTCCCATCGTGTCTTTTTGTCGGCGGTCCCACTGCCCGCCTGCTCTCACTCCTCCGCGGCCTCTTGGGCGTCCTGGGAGCCCGGAAGTCATGTTCCCGGAGAGGCTTCGGGGAACATGATGTCGAACGAGGCTCTCTTGGGCCTCCCTGAGGCCGTCTTGGGGGCCTCCTGGGCCGGCTTCGGGGCCTCTTGGGCCGTCTTGGGGGATTCCGTGAGCCCCACAGGACGACCCTTTCGGGCCTTCTGGGTCCTCGTAGGTCTCTCTTGGGCTGTGTTGGGGCTCCTCGGGGGCGTCTGGGGCACTCTGAAGACGAAGCAAGCGAGTATGTTTGCCTCTTGAAGGCCCTCTTGGGGCCCTCGTCGGCCATCTTGAAGCCATCTCGGGCCCTCCGGGGCCTCGCTGAGGCTGTCTTGTGGGCCTCTTGGGCGTCCTGGGAGCCCGGAAGTCATGTTCCCGGCGAGGCTTCCGGGAACATGATGTCGAACGAAGCCCTCTTGGGCCTCCCTGAGGGCGTCTTGGGGGCCTCCTGGGCCGGCTTTGGCGCTTCTTGGGCCGTCTTGGGGGGTTCCGTGAGCCCCACAGGCCGACCCTTTTGAGCCGTCTGGGGCCCTCTTGGGTCTCTCTTGGGCTGTGTTGGGGCTCCGCGGGGGCGTCTGGGGCACTGTGAAGACGAAGCAAGCGAGTATGCTGAAAATGTACGTTTTACGTGGGGAATGGGCCGATGTTTGCCTCCTGAAGGCCCTCTTGGGGCCCTCGTCGGCCATCTTGAAGCCATCTCGGGCCCTCTTGGGGCGCTCTTGGGCGTCTTCGGGGCCTCTTGAGGCTTTCTTGACCATCTGTACGGCCCGCGTGGCCTGTCGTGGGCAATTTGGAAGCGGCCCAGGGCAGTCCCAGGGGGGCTGTGACCCCCAAAGGTTCCGGGGGGCGCCCATGGGGGATGACGGCACCGGCCTGGGCCCCCCCGGCCTATTCCGATATGTGTATGTATGTATGTATGTATATATATATATATATATATATATATATGTGTGTGTGTATGTATAACATGTGTGTGTGTGTGTGTGTGTTCGTGTGTGTTCGTGTGTGTGTGTTGTGTGTGTCTGTGTGTGTGTGTGTGTTTCGATGTGGTTGTGTGTGTGTTTCAAAGCTTTTGACCCCAACGGAGAAAACCGAACTGGTCCCGGAAGCGGCACGGTGGCGGGATGATGAGCCGAACGCTACTAGATGTGCATGGCCTTGCGGGTCGCAGCCTGTAGCTGATTTCCGGGTGACCAATAGGACCCCCAAACGCACCCCAGAGGCCTCGGAAAACCTACAAGAGAGCCACCGGGAGGCCGTGGGGGAAAAAAACACGAGAGGCATCGTGACAACCATGCAACACCAGCCAGCAATCATGCCACGTGTCACAATTGATGCACAGCTTCCTACCCGAGACTGCAGAGGCATGTGGCAACGGGGCGTGATTATTTGCGGCCGCGATTCTACCGTGCTGCTGTGTTGCTGCTTCGCAGCATCGACACGTTATCACGTCGTTGCAGTGCCTGCGTAGCGGCACTGTGTGGCCCCCATGCAGTACCACATCGTGCATCCTCCTTCCCGTCCGCTCTCGCTGCTGCTCGAGCTCCTGCGCCTCATCCCCCTCCCTCTCCTCGTCCTCGTCCTCCTCCTCCTCCTCGTCGTCCTCCTCCTCCTCCTCCTCCTCCTCCTCCTCATCATCCTCCTAATATTATGACCCCCTCCTCCTACTCCTCCCCCTCTTCCTTCCGAGTTTTTCCTTCCATTCCCCCCTCGCTGAGTTCTTCCTGAGTTCCTTCCGAGTTCCACCCCTCCTCCCCTCCTGACCTCCTCCTCCTCCTCCACCTCCTGAGTTCTTCCTCCTTCCTTCTCCTCCCCCTCCCCCTCCTGCTCCCAGCCTCCCCCCCACTGCCACCCCAGCGGCAAGCGAGGCCCGCGCCCCGCCCGGGACTGTCCCGCACAGCGAACAGGCCTGCACCTCCGACGAGAAGTCGCACCCCTTCAGGAACTTGTGGTACTGTGACCTCGCGTCCTCGTCGGGCTTCTCCTGTAGAGCGAACGCCAGTCTGACCACACCCTGCTGCAAGAGGGAGGGGGGCCCGAGGAGGAGGAGGAGGAGGAGGAGGAGGAGCTGGGAGTAGCTGAGAGGGGACCAGTCCTCGCCCCCTTATGGGGCCGAAAAACACAGGGGATCAACAAACACCTTCAAGATCCTCAACCTCCTCCTCTCCCATCCCAGGCGGGCCGTCCAGAACTTCGCCCACGCGATGGCGGGCCCCGCCTGGGTTCGGCAGCGTCGCCGCCTGGGCCTCCACCTCTGGGGAGGACGGGCTGGGAGGGCGGGGGCCTGCGGCGGGCGGGGCCCACTACCACCCGACGAGGCGGCCCCGAACGACTCGACAACTCTCAACTGGTCCCGCTCCGCCATGGCCAGCAACATCGGTCGAGGGGGCCCCTCTCTTCGTGGAAGAGTGCCCCTTCTCTAAGCGACGAAGATTGCCCGTCCCCTTAGGAGACTGACCGTTGCAACGGGGCTTCAAGGCCCTGGGGCCAACCGTCGCATAGCGACCACAGGCCGAGCACACCGTCAAGAACCACGTCGGACAAAAACGAGCACTTGTGGGTTGGATGAATCTCTAACGCCGCGGCTCGTGCAGCATGCGGGGCGACAGGGAAGGCCTCCACTCCCAGGGGGGAGGCACTGTCGCACGGGCTCGCAGCAAATGCGTCGATGCTGGCGTCGGCAACCACCATATCACAATCTAAGCAAAACCACTTCGCACCGCATTTCTCCAGCTGGTGTGCCGACGACCTGAGCATCATGTCTAATTTTGACAGGCGGGCAACCCTCTCTCGGCGGCAAGCACGCTGCTGCGGTTCAGCGGCAGCCGCATCGACCAGGGCACGTCTCGCACGAAGGCGGATCAGCGCGGCAGTGGCGTCGACCCGAGCCACATCAGGCCGAGACCCCACCAGGGCACACTCCCCCGCCCACACATCCGCCCTCCCCGCCCACACATCAGCTGTCAAATTGCCGCAGGCAACATGCAGCCCCCACTCTGTATGCAGGAGCTCGGGGGACTCATCTGGGTGCGGCGGGGTCCATACCACCGACAGCCGCTCCCGATCGGCCGTGTCCCCCGCGCCTGGCGCGCCTCGGTCCAGCGGTCCTCGTTGGGCCCAGAGGGCCTGGGGTCACTCAAGCGCGACCTCCACGTCCGAAGCCAAGGGGCAGGTGGTCCGTCGCAAACGTAGATGGGCCCTGGACCGCCGACGACGCCAGAGCAAACGCAACAGCCTCAGCCCTGGGGGACGCTTGCTTGTTCCCCAGGCAGGGGCTTAGCAAGCGCACCCCCTAGAGCAATATGACCACTACTCCTCTGAATCGCTGCGATCGCGGTTCCACATCGGCGACGACGGGGGTCTTCACTCTATATGTTCCTCCCGATCCATCGCCAAAAACAACAACTCTGCCTTCAGAACTGCAACGCATAAACTCCCCGGGGGCCCCAAACGTCTCCTAGAGCCCTCGAATCACCTCCTCATCAAAAAACGGGGTGGGTGAGGCGCAAGGGAGGGAGGCCCCGAAGCCGCAGAGAGGGCTCGGCAACGTGAGACGATGTGGCCAGAGGGAGCAAACAATGCGTTTTCTCGTAGTCCTCATGGTTACAATTCTTCTCACAACTCCAGATGCGATGAAAGAGAGACTCTGGGCTTTTCCCGCATCGGCCACAGGCTGGCTCAACCAGGTAGCCGTTGTCGATCTCCCTCTGCTTGGTCCACTGGCCCCCGCTGATCACCGTGACGCTGGTTGCGGCCAAGTCTCTCTAACCCTGTCGTTCAAATCGTTTCTGCTCGCGCACAGTCTGAATCAGATCAGCGCCGCCAGTCAGATCCTGACCAACCACATGCTGAGCCGCAGCGCGCCACAAGAATCCACGGATATCGGCCTCCGCATCCTCAAACAAGGCGTGGAAGGACGCCGTCTGGGAGAAACCATCGTCGTGTCGGGAAAGCAACACCCATTGGTCCGCCAACTCCTCATCATTTTCCGTTGGCCCCAACCATGACGTAGCAGTAACTGGATCCCAATGAATGTCCATCAGCGTAGCCTACAGTGCCACTATCGGCCCTTTCTCATGTGCCCATCTTATGGTGCCCGCTGTCCTCAATCTACTGCGAATCGAGTCCCACGCACGCAGAACCCTGTCATGTATCTCGAGGAAGAAGAGGAGGAGGAGGAGGAAGAGGAGGAGGAGGAGGGAGGAGGAGGAGGAGGAGGAGGAGGGGGAATAAGACCGATCACAACCACGTCGGACTGTTGAGGAACTACATCGGTCGGATTGCAACCACTGCAAACGGACTGATCGCAACCTAAAGGATTCCTATACAAACCTGTCAGGAGAACACCGGATTGCAACCGATCCAAGAGCTCCTGCTGAGGCCTCTGAAAAGGCTTCTCTGAAACCTCTGAAAAGGCTTCTCTGAGGCCTCTGAAAAAAAGGCTTCTCTAAGGCCTCTGAAAGGCTTCTCTGAAGCCTCTGAAAGGCTTCTCTGAAGCCTCTGCGAGGCTTGTTGGAGACTTCTGAAAGGCTTGTGGGAGGCTTCTGAGAACTTGCGGGAGGCTTTTGAGAGGCTCCTGAAGGCTTCTGAGAGGCTTGTGGGAGGCTTCTGAGAGGCTTCTGAAAAGCTTGTGGGAGGCTTCCGAGAGGCTTCTGAGATGCTTTTGCGAAGCTTCTGAAAGGCTTTTGAGAGGCTTCTGAGGGGCTTCTGAGAGGCTTGTGCGAGGCTTCTGAGAGCCTTCTGCGAGGCTTCTGCGAGGCTTCTGAGAGGCTTCTGAGAGGCTTCTGAGAAGCTTCTGAGAGGCCTCTGCGAAGCTTCTGCGAGGCTTCTGAGGGGCTTCTGAGAGGCCTGCCCCGCAGGCCCCACAGTTCCCACAGGTCCTGCGTGTTGCACGGGCGCCAAAGGTCTCGCAGGCCGCGCAGGGCGCACACGTCCCCCAGCCATGGTTCCCACAACCACGACAGGCCCAGACCGCCTGGCGCCGTGGCAACATCTGTTTTTGTTTCGGGCTCGGGGGGCCATCGCCAGGCCCAGGGGCCGTCCAATAGTGACTCAGTATGCAATGCTGGTCTGCTGTAGGTTCATGCGGCGTTGGCGCGCCGGCGACATTGGGGAAGGCGTTCAAGGCTGCATTTTGCGACGCGGAAGCACCGAGGGACACGTTGGGCCCACAGTGCCCGACGAAATTCAACATTGAACGATCGGGGCCGCGACCGATTCAAGGTTGAACGATCCACGCGGTGCCAAAGCCTTGCGGGTGCCGACGCCGCACGAACCTACCGTAGGGGAATTCGTCCAGACCTCTGGGGGCCGACGTCCTGGAAAAGTCATGACGTTCGGGGGTTGGACCGCCGCGTCTACCCGCCTTGCCATCCTGTCCTCTTCCGTTTCCCCCCCTCCTCCTCCTCCTCTTCCTCCTTCTCCTCCTCCTCCTCCTGCTCCTGCTCCTCCTGCTCCTCCTGCTCTGTCCTTCCTCCCTCCCCTCCTCCTTCTCCCTTCCTCCTCACCCCCTCCCCTCCTCCTCCTCCTCCTTCCTCCTCCTACCTCCCTCCTACTACCTCCTCCTCTCCTCCTCCTCCTCTCCTCCTCCTCCTCCTCCTCTCTCCTCCTCTCCCGCCTCCTCCTCCCCCTCCTCATCCTCCTCTCCTCCTCCCCTTCCTCCTCCTCCTCCTCCTCCTCCTCCTCCTCCTCCTCCCCCTCCTGATATGCAATTTGTTTCACGTCACGCGTTTTCGTTCAGTTTCGGCTTCAACCGTATACGAATCACATAGGAATCGTATACGGATCATGGCCACGTTCGAGCTCCAATACATGTGTTTAGCTGAGATCATGATCAGCCGTCTGTGATCGGAACGATCGCAACCACTTGTTCAGATTCCCATTGGGCGGCTTATGGGAACTCATTGAACCCAGAAGCGCTCTTATTATCTCTTCCTGAATCAAAACCTGATTGAAACGACCCAAAAACATCGCAACCACTTGGGACCGATCGCAACTGGTTGCGATCGGTCCGAAGTGGTTTACGATCGGTCCGAAGTGGTTGCGATCGGTCGTGCTCGCGGGGAGGAGGAGGAGGAGGAGGAGGAGGAGGAGGAGGAGGAGGAGGAGCGCAGCCACGGCTGGGGGGGGCACACGCGGTGCTGCTTGGAGCTAGGCAAACTTCGCGAATCCCAAGTGCTCCCAAACTCAGGACGGGCGGCAAGGGCGCAAGACCCTTGGAGGCCGAAGTTGGGATTGCTTGGGCGGCGGGCGCCCAAAACACCGAGGACGCAAGGGTAGCCGAACCCGCCTCCGCCATCGCCGAATTGGCGTCGAGGCCCAGAGCAAAAACAGCGCAAGGACACGCAAAGGGTACTCCAGATTTCGTAATAAAGGGAGTGGGGTCTCATTTCGGGGGGGGTCTCTTCCAGGCTATCTTGGAGGGCCTGGGGGGGTCTGGGGACGATGTTTTGGAGGGTTCTCCCACGGGGGAGGTCTGAAATGGCTGGTCTTGGAGGGTCCAGACCCCCTCCCTTTTATTACGAAATCTGGAGTACCCTCAAAATCCGCACGCCCCCCTGGGCATGGCGCCACCATCAAAGGGCACCCTGCCTCCTCCCTCCTCCCCTCCTCATCCTCCTCCTCCTCTCTCCCCTCCTCCCCCTTCCTCCTCTCCCCCTCCTCCTTCCCCCCTCCTCCTCCTCCTCCTCCCTCCACTCCTCCTCCTCCTCCTCCTCCTCTCCTCCTTCCTCCTCCCTCCTCCTCCTCTCCCCTCTCCTCCTCCTCCCCCTCCCTCCTCCTCCTCACTCCTCCTCCTCCTCCTCTGCTCCTCCTCCTCCTCCTCTCCTCCTCCTCCTCCTCCTCCTCCTCCCCGCTTGGGTGGGCACTGTGGCGCATGCTGCGGGCGCAGGGACGCGCACGGGGGCCCCGGCGGGCTCCGCGCCGTGCGGGGCCACGCCTGCCCACGAACGAGGGCGACGGCCGAAGGCGACGGCGGCGCGGCCC